GGATTGAATTCCTAGTCATTGGCACCAAAATGCTAAGAATGAGCTATCTTTATGAGTACAAACCCTGGAAGCTGAACGATCACAAGCTAAGGAGCAAGCGTGTAATGCGTGGTGGTCATGGAGTTGTCCGACTTGGATTGGAGACCCAGGTTCAAATCACCCCACAGCACTTTGACCCATTGACCAGTCAGTCTAACTTACTTCACAGAGTTGTTGTGACGGTAATATTTTTGGTGGTGGGTAAACATCTTTGGGGGGGGGAAATGGGGTATAAGTGAAATGAATGAATGAATGAATGAATGGGGATTCTGCTTGTGAGGACTGATTCTGCCCTCCTCTCAGCTATGGGCAAATTCTCAGCTTAATTTCAAACAGGGCTTAATTTGCAAATGGGCCACTGAGATATCACAAGTAGGTCACTGGCAAAAGGGTTTTTGTTGGTTGGTTTACTTATCAGATTTGCATGGAAACGGCAAATCTGAAATTGGGCTGCATCTATTCCACAAGAAACACCTGTCTAGAAACACAATATTTAAAAATTGTTTTGGGGGAAAATATATATGGAAGAGCAGGATAAATCATTTAATTCTCTGAGTGGGTGATCTGTCTTGGGTTTTTCCCGACCTCCTATGGTCAGGAAACAATAACCCATGGACTTTCCTCTCCCTCACTGGACCATCCAGTCCACATAGCTAAACATCCTGTCTTCATTATACTGAGCATTTTCTGGTCCTTCTCAACAAATGACACTTTGTCATCACCCCTCAAGTCTGCACTGTCCAGTTCTGCCCTCACAATCAACCTGAACACACAAATGCTCTCCCAAAGGCGAGAGCCACACATTAAGAACCCTCCCTGCCATGGCAAGAAATCCAACCAACCAAGAAAGGCCTACCTTTTAAAAAATAATATATATTTGGGTATACTTAACACACACGGTTATCTGCGCGTCCTATAGATCATTTAACAAATTGCTTTGCAATCCTTCCAGGGCGTGGTATAAATGACTGATTTAAAACCTCTGCATTGTTCAGGCTGCATTGTTCTTCATCAGGTTGAGTCATTTTTATGTGAAGTGTCAAGCTCTCCTAACAAATAACGGCTGCCAGACAAATCAAGTTCCTCATCTTAAAGCTATGGCTAAATAGTTTATAGCTTTAATCTGCTCACTGAGGTGTGCAGTCTATGACAGTAATTATAAATGCAAGGAGAAATTATAGCTGAATACTTTAACTGCATTAGGAGCCATTTGATGAACATTCATGATTGCCTGCTCATTTTCAACAATAGAGGGCACGTTAGTGTCAATGCATTAGAGATTTTCAGCACTGTTCGCCTCTTTCTTCCATTTACCACCGAATTGTCAGTTGTCTCCTATAAAGGTGGGGGGGGGAGAAGCACCATAGAATCTTTAAACTTGATGGGTTTAAAAAAAGAGAAAAAGACAAAGGAGGAAACAGAAGGAAAAAACACCCCTGTTTATCATTATGCATCACCCCCTCTTTTTCCTTTGTAGTATCCTTATTTTCAAAATTGATTCGTTTCAGAGAGCTGCCTGTTTACTTACCAAAGGCTTCAGGGGAAACAAAAACCACCACTCTGCTTCAAACAGTGCAGAACTTGAGCCAGGATTCAGTTCTGGAACCAACCCCCCCCCCTTTTAACACTCTGGGCTGAGCTCCAGAACGTGTAGCAAGAGTGCATTGGAGCACGTGCAAAATGCTTTCCCTCTCCACCAAGTCCGAGCTCAACTTCCCACCCACCCCCAACAACATAGCACGGCAGGAATTTACAAGGACTGAGGGTCGTCTCGGTTGGAATCTCTTGCTCTGCGGCAGGCTCTAATATATTTCTTCTGCAAAAGTGAGCTCCTGGCCTCTTCTAAACTGACCATGTTGCAAATGAAAGAATGGCAAAGAGCTTTGGTGAGTCAAATTAAGAATCCATCTAGGTCAGTATTCTTATTTCAACAGTGGCTGGACAGATGTTTCCAGTAGTGCTGTGCTGAAACCTCTTCTCCAATCTCTCAGAAGTTTTTCTTCTCTCACAAAAGTGTTTCCCCCCGCCTCCTCTTCTCTGGTTTAGCATTCCTTGATGATTTCAGTGAGTATTTTGTTGAGCTTACCCTATGTATCGTCAAGGGTGGTGTATGTGTGTGTGTTTTCATTCCGTCTCTCTCCAGCACTCTACAGTCTCCCCTGCTACCCATGTTTCCTCATCTGAAAAAAAACCACACCCCAACAACCATGAGAGAATTTAACTCATGGCATCTTCCTATGGGCTTTACCTGAAGTGTCAGAAATCAGGAAGGCTGGCTACTGGTTCTCAGAAATGAGCCTGCTTCCATTTTGTTTCCAAGGAAAGACCTTTCTTTGACCTTTAAAAAATAATAAAAAAATGGTTGTACTGATTTCTTTAACAGTAAAAAAATACAGTCTAACCTTGGTTGCCAAACGCCTTGGAACTCGTATGTTTCAGCTCCTGAATGATCAAAAAATGGAAGTGAGCTTCCTGCAGCCAAACAGAAGCCGCGCTTTGGTTTCTGAATGTTTTGGAAGCCGAACGGACTTCCAGAATGGATTCCGTTTGACTTCCAAGGTACGACTGTACTTCACTTTAAATAACAACAATGGACAGCTGTTAGGACTATGGGAGGAGCCTCCCTGGTTCTCCACATTTCCAGGAAAGCGCAGCCAAGAATGGCATGGGGTATTCTTGAAGTGTGAGCAGCTGGGGAGGCTGGAGAGGTGTTATTTGTGGAATGGAAGCTCACTGAAAACCTCTAGCCAACTTGGCACTAAGGCAAGCACACCAGAACTCTCTCACCCAGCCCTTAAGAAATTTACCAAAATTACTCTTTCCATACTTTTTGATTGAAATGTATTTCCTCATTCATTCATTCATTCATTCATTCATTCATTCATTCAGTTATAAAAGTATTTCTATACCACCATGTCTGAAAATATTAGGGCTGTGTACAATGCGTGTATATACATACACCTGAGCGTTTGGAGGAGCGCAGAGAGAAGAAAAGCCATGGTGCAGCTGTAGCTGCACAACCAGACACCTTCATCTGCCACAGCTGCAACAAAACATGTCTGTCCCGCATTGGTCTCTACAGCCACAGCAGGCGCAGTAACTCTCCAACCGCTTGACTTTAGACCTGAAGGCACACTCTTCTATTGTCTCCTGAAACAGTGTAAAACAGGCATTAAAATGAGTGGCTTCTGCACAGACCTCTTGGCATGCTTTGTTTTGTTTTAAGTCCCAGAGATGCCTGAAAGGCAGGAGTGAAGATGATGGCCAAATCTCTGCTGGAAAAGTGTTCCATAGTATGGGACCATTGATACCAAATGCTCAGTTCCTAGTGGAAGTCCATCAGGCCTTCCTGTGGGGGATAAGAGAACTGGTAGAGAATGGTTGGGGCAGGGGAACACAATACCTTTGTGGCCCAGCACTGGCTTCCAAGCACAGGGAACAAAGGAGCAGCTCCCCCTAAGTTTTTGCTCTGCAAAACTGGAATTCAGAGCTAAACTGCTCTGGAACCTGCACAAGGTTCCACAACGTTTTCAAAAAAGCATCCTTCCCATCTACTAGCTGGCATTTGTCAGCCTCCATTTAATCCCTCTGAAAATGTGGTGGTGTACATGGTTCTGTTCTCCCACAAGTCTGTGAGGTAGGTTAAAGGTAAAGGTAAAGGACCCCTGTGGCGCTGTGGGTTAAACCACAGAGCCTAGGACTTGCTGATCAGAAGGTTGGTGGTTCGAATCCCTGCAACGGGGTGAGCTCCTGTTGCTCGGTCCCTGCTCCTGCCAACCTAGCCGTTCGAAAGCACGTCAAAGTGCAAGTAGATAAATAGGCACCGCTCCAGCGGGAAGGTAAACGGCGTTTTTGTGCGCTGCTCTGGTTCGCCAGAAGCGGCTTAGTCATGCTGGCCACATGACCCAGAAGCTGTACTCCGGCTCCCTCGGCCAATAAAGCGAGATGAGCGCCGCAACCCCAGAGTCGGCCACGACTGGACATAATGGTCATAATGGTCCCTTTACCTTTTTAAAGGACCCCTGACAGTTAAGTCCAGTCGCAAACGACTCTGGGGTTGCGGTGCTCATCTCACTTTACTGGCCGAGGGAGCTGGCGTTTGTCTGCAGACAGTTTTTCTGGTTCATGTGGCCAGCATGAAACCAGAGCAGCGCACGGAAACACTGTTTACCTTCCTGCTTGAGCGGTACCTATTTATCTACTTGCACTTTGACGTGCTTTTGAACTGTTGGCAGGAGCTGGGACCGAACAACAGGAGCTCACCCTGTTGCAGGGATCTGAACCACCGACCTTCTGATTGGCAAGCCCTAGGCTCTGTCGTTTAACCCACAGCGCCACCCGTGTACCTATTTATCTACTTGCACTTTGATGTACTTTTGAACTGCTAGGTTGGCAGGAGCTGGGACCGAACAGCAGGAGCTCACCCCGTTGCGGGGATTTGAACCGTTGACCTTCTGATCGGCAAGCCCTAGGCTCAGTGGTTTAGACCACAGCGCCACCCATGTCCCGGTGAGGTAGGTTAGGGAGAGAAAAAAGCGACTGGCCCAAGGTCACCCAGTAAGCTTCGTGGTTGAGAGGCAGCTTGGAACCCTGGCATCCCAGGCCCTAGTCCAACGCTGCCTCTGAAATCTTTCCCTTGTCTAGAGAATTGCATGTTCCACAAACAGCAAAGCTATCTTTATTTGAATGTGTGCAGATGAATATCAGATTTCCAAATCCTTCCCTCCCACCCTGCAAAAACACTGTCTCCATGATACCTGATGTGTGGGAGTGTGTGCGTGCGCATAACTGCAAATTTACGTGATTTGAATAACAGGCCTTTCTGCTTTATACATAGTTTCCTCACAAGGTTGAAGCAAGAATTTTTCTATTAATGTAGAATTAGAAAAATAGATATTTAAAGCTAAGAATCTGAATGCTAAAAGGAACTCATTACACCAATCTTCTTTCCGATGTTCCAGGTTTTATGGATGCGGGGAGTAACATGGCAAATTTGCAGATGGTTGAAATGAAAAGGGTGAGTTTTGGTAAGATTGTCTTAAATCCTTAAATCCAAGATAATGTTCTGTTATATTGCAAAATGCAAATACCTATGGGAAGTGCGGGAAAAAGACAAAAGGAAGAAGGATATGCAAGAGAAACACACACACATATCCCTACATCAGATATTTTTTCAATAATTAAGGGAATTGGAATTTAGTAAAATCGCTATTCTACTATCTAGCAAAATATCTTTCAGCAACACACAGGGAAGCACTGGATTGTGTTTGTGTGGGGCAGAATTTAGGGGGAAATTGACAGTTTATATTTTGAGATTTGCAAAATCTTTCAAACATGGGTTCAATCTGGTATTCTCATTTTCTGAAGCCAAAATTTATGGGTGTACTTTTAAAGTTTTTAAAGAACAGGTGATAGAAGAGCCTTTCCCAATTGTTAAAACCTTTTTTAAAAAGTCCTTACAATTAACCTGCTATTTCTAAATATGTCAATATTCTAAAATGTACGTATAAATATGTGAGGCTTGTTACAGGTATTTTGCTAGCATATTTAGCATCTACTCATTGCAAGAAATCTTAATTTTGCTATGGGATAGCAATAGTGCACACTTTCTTTTTAACAAACAAGCAAGATGTTCCAAATGACATCGGATTTGCTTCCAATTTTCAAAAAACACCAGGATCAAACTTTGCAGGGTTTTTCTTTAAGCATAGCTCTAAAGAGTTTAGTCAAGCTTTAGACCTTAAAATAATAATAATAAAAACATATAACCTATACAGTGTTAGTCAAAACAGCCCATCATTTCACCCAATTTGTGCTTTCATGCATACCAACTAAAATTACAGTTCCATATAACCATTTGTTCATACTTTTACAGCCATTTAAATATTTCCTTCTAAAGTACTAAGGCACAGACTTCAAGAAGATATAAATACAAATAGTTACCTATTTTTTAAAAATAGCTAACTAACATCTGCCTCACCGCCTCTTTCCCCCACACTCATTAGTAGTGAAATTAGCAGGACTTGATAAAAACCCTGATAAATTGTAGTTTAAAATTGAAAATCCAGTCTTTTCCTATGCAGTTTCTCCTGAACTGTTATGCTGTATCTCTTAATCCAAAATGTTGACAAATATAACCTCTGTATAAAGTCTGAATGTTTGTTTTATGCACTAACATCTGCACAAATTTAAGAGCAGAGATGGAGGAGAAATTCGATTTGGTTCTCTTTTTAATACGGTCCTAACGGCTTTGCATTCTCCAGAACAATACCAAGTGAACCAAGATGCTGTTATCCTTTGCAATTTGCACATCCCTGGATTTTGTGAAGGCATTCTCCAACCAAAAAATGCATACAAAATGCCTATGTAAGGGAAAATGTTATTGAAAACAATGTACAAAAATGCACTCTATTAAAATGCTTAATAGTGAAGATATTTATATTAGGCAAAAACTGCGGGTGAATTTTCATGAAGACATATATGCTGCTGGAAATGTGACAAAATGAAGAAGAGATAAGCTGCAACTGTCTATCCTTACTTGGGAGTAATCCATTGAATTCTGTGTGACTTAATTCTGGAGTAAGCAGACAGAGGGCCAGACTGCTAGGTGTAAAGTGCACTTCTCAGGAATAACCATCAAACAGAAATTAATATATCTCTTAACACCTCCCACCCCTGCACCCTGAACATATTACTCTATTTAGGATTGGTTGCAGTTGTGTTCTTAGCTGCTAAATTCCCGCATCAGAAGCATGTTTTGCTGGTTATTTCCCTATATCAAGCAGGTGTCTTTTTTTGCGATAGAACCCAAATTACCGTATTTTTCGGTCTATAAGATGCACCAGACCACAAGACGCACCTAATTTTGGGAGGAGAAAACAAGAAAAAAAATATTCTGAATCTCAGAAGCCAGAGCAGCAAGAGGATCGCTGCGCAGTGAAAGCAGCAATCCCTCTTGCTGTTCTGGCTTCTGGGATAGCTGCCACAGCCTGCATTTGCTCCATAAGACGCACACACATTTCCCCCTACTTTTTAGGAGGGAAAAAGTGAGTCTTATAGAGCAAAAAATACGGTATTTGCCAATGGGCAGGGCTTTTTTTCAACCGGAAACTGATTTTCAGCACCTCTCAGGTAGGTTCTATTGCCATTATAAGAGAAACAAGGAAGGCGTTCCTGGTGAGTTCGCGGCACCTCTTTTTCTAGAAAAATAGTTCTGCCAATGTTCTAACACTAATAAACATAAAACACTGTAAAAATAAAATAAATGAAATGAAATCTACTCTTGGGAATGGGGAGAATACAAAAATATTCCCCCCCATACTTTTCCATTTTTTAAAAAATCTTTTTATTACAAAGTATGTGGAATTTCAAATTATGGACTAACAATAGGTACCATACCAGTCCCTATGAGGGAAATAACAGGCCCAGATATCCCATTGCAGCAGCAGGTCTGCCAAACTGTATGTCCGGAAATCTACTATTTAAAATGAATTCAATCAGAGTGTGTTTTCATTGCTTTTTTCATTGGCTTTTTTAATGACAGTGTTTTACAGGGTAAGTGTCCAAAGGCAGCGTCATTACCTTTGTACTAAGGGACCCTTGTGCAGCTGTGCGCTGTAATTTGGATATTCTCAATAGCACTAGAACTGTAATCGTTCCACTTAGCCAAATCCTGAAGTCAGTTCATTATTAAAAATGCTACACATTTATAGCACTGGAGCATGCCGCTGCAATGGGGGAGCAGTTAGCATTGCTTCTGTTTCTCGGTGAGTTGCCAGCTTATCGGCCCCTGCTCCTGTGCTCGGAATTGCAGGCAAGAAGACTCTCACACGCCTGCTGTGACTTCTGCAAGATGAAGCTGTTATTAAAAGGCAGAGGAGCAGGCCGGGCCATTTTTGGTCTGATCAGTTGGCAACCCTGCAGGTCACTGCCTACACAGCATGCATCACTGGCTGTGATTCTCGTGCCAACAGCTGTGAACAGACTTATCAAGGTCAGCTTGGGAAGCTGTGGTATCCTTGCACTAAAATAGTGATACAGTCCACCATGGCAAGAAGCACGTTTTTTGGGTATTTTTATTAAAGATCTTCTTGATTTACAGAAGGAGGTGTAATGTCTCTCGCAATTTTTCCATGTAACATTTTTACAAATCAGTTTCATTTGTTGAGACATTAGGAAGAAAAAGGGGAGGGGGGAAGATGGGTGGGGGGTGGGGTCGAGTGGCGATGTTTCTATTTTGCTTAATGTATGTAGGGTTTTGTGTCAGCATTGCTTGTGCAGGTTCTCTGCTGTTCACTTGCGTTCCTTTGGTGGTGAGAGAGGTTGGGGTTGGCCTAGGGTGTGGTTGTTCATTTGTGGTTGGCTGTGGTGGTCTTTGTTTTCATGTGTGAGTGGGGTGGGTGGGTGTTTTGGATCAGGTTAGCCATATTGATTTGTATGCTGTTGGTGGATTATTGTCATTGTCTTGTTGGGCTGTGTATGTGATAAAGGGGAGCCATACCGGGGTGAAGGCGTCTTCTTCTGTTTGTCCCCATGTCGGTTTCAGTTTATTGGTTAATTTTTCTAGTAAGGCTGTTTCCCATACTATTTGGTACCATTGGTCCATGCTTACTCCTGACAGATCTCTCTAGTGAAAAAGCACTTCTTTAACACTTTATTCTTTGCACCTCGTTTGCATGCAGCGGTCTAAGTACTATCACTCAGGAGCCTATTGCCCTTTCACTGTTGTAGACCTGGGCTTATATCCACTGCCGGATTTACATACAGTGGTACGTCATGTTGTGTAACCTCCAGGTTATGGAATCTTACGGCCACGTAAGTGTGTATACTTCCGAGTTTCGCCGCTCGCGCATGCACAGAAGTGCTCTATTGTGCCGTGTGCATGCACAGAAATGGTGTCTTTAGTTACAGATTCTTCGGGGTGCATGCGGCACCCCGAAACAAATTAAATCCATAACCAGAGGTACCACTGTATAAGCTAAACAAGCTATAGCTTAGGACCCCACTCTCTTAGGGGCCCCCCAAAAAATTAAAGGGAAAAAAACAACTGGATGTACATTTCCAAAATATAAGATAAAAAACAAATAAAATAAAACCTACATACAGCAGCAGTGTTTTGTGTTGTGTAGGCTCCTATGATGGGCCCTGCCTGCTAGCCTGCTCCCTAAAATATCACTAGTTTGCTCATTTCTATATAAAGGGTGCCTACATTCTGCATGTGCAAATGGTTTTAGATACCTCTTAGGTTCGCAAATTACCATATGGCATATATTCAGCACAAAAAAACAGTGACAATTTGTTGTTGACAAAGGACAGCTGGACATATAAAGGGCCCCATTACCTTCAGTAGCTTAGGGCTTCATCAAACCTAAATCCGGCCCTGCTTGCATCAGAACTCCAACACAGATCAGCGAAGCACATCGTTTCCCTCTTTGGGGCAAAGGGTTCTCCCACCAAGGATGTTTCCAGATAGGTAAATATCGTGGGATTGGCGCTCCTCGTGCAAACAAGCTTTTTTTTTTTTGTAGCATCCATATGATAACATCAGCATCAAAATACTACCCCATATCCCCTCCCCCCCCTCCTGAATTGAATCCAGATTTACTCTTTCTGGAGGAAATCTGGTTTGTAAGAAGACTCCCTATTGCCAGCCAACCATTTGCAGTATGTCAATGACCAATTTGCAAATTAAACACCTCAACAATATCCCCCCCCTCCCGCATTTATTCCAGTGTAAGAAGGAGCCTACTTCATGTGCATATCTTCCTTTGCAGATATGAATTGGATTGCTCACTGAAATGAAGAGAGAGCCCCTGAACTGGAGAAGCTCCTTCTTCTCATCAGAACATGCCTGAATCTTGGGGTTGGGATGATTGCACCATAGATTCCATTCAAAAGCTGTAATACATAGAGATGTTGTGCTGGCTTTTACACCGTTGACGTGTTACCTCTGTAAGGTATGTTTCACAACTAATTGCATATGCAGCAGGGCAAAACCTCATTCAAAATATCCAAATAACTATATATGTCTTTGTTCCCAGACAAGAGAAACTCTTTGTAGAGCACTCACCCAATCCTGCTGAATGCAAGTCCTTCAGAGTTTAGGCTGCAATCCTATACTCCTAGGATTGTGCTGTTAGAGTTGCAATCTTCAGCACACCTAAAGGTAAAGGTACCCCTGACTGTTAGGTCCAGTCGCGGACAACTCTGGGGTTGACGCTCATCTCACTCTATGGGCCGAAGGAGCCAATGTTTGTCCACAGACAGCATGACTAAGCCGCTTCTGGCGAACCAGAGCAGCGCACGGAAACGCCGTTTACCTTCCCGCCGGAGCGGTACCTATTTATCTACTTGCACTTTGATGTGCTTTTGAATTGCTAGGTGGGCAGGAGTTGGGACCGAACAGCGGGAGCTCAACCCGTCACGGGGATTCGAACCACTGACCTTCTGATCAGCAATCAGCTGTGGTTTAGACCACAGCGCCACCTGCGTCCCTTTCAGCACACCTGCTAGGAAGTAAATTCCCTTCATCTCAATGAAATGTTCCTCTGCCGCAACTGTTTATTTGGGCTATCAGATGCTCGTTACTAATTTAAAAACATAAGATGTCAGGTTTTGGAGTTAAGGAGGCTTTATTTATTATGCACCAGACTAATAGTATATTCATAAATGCTAGATGTAAGTGTATTCTTGAATTATTTGCCCCCTGTTTCAGGATTGAAAACGAGCAGCTCACTACAAATGGGTCTGTGTGTTTTCTCTCTCCTTCTTAAAAAGAAAAGACAACCTTGTGCTAAAAACAGTTCTGGAAACAACGGGAGCTGTGTGGCGCTTCAGTTCATTCATGGGGTGGGGTTCTAACGGCAGCTCCTTGAAAGGAAGAGGGATTGCATTGCAAGCATATGAAACCACACCAGTATGAGCAGGACATGTACAATTCAAGTCAATATGGGGCTCTATTCATTCCTCCAATATAATGTGCACTGTATTGAGCAGTGTGTGTATAATGCTATGAGCTAAGCAACATGTATCAGATTACAAAGGAAAGGCCTGTGTAAATATTCAAAAGGGCAGTTAAGACTAGCCAGAATAATTAACGAGTGAGACTTCTACATACGTTTATATGTGACAAAGGAATTTATTGTTACACAAATGAATCTATGATGCCATATGTTTATCTAGAATAATGACTACATAACCAATGTTATCTACCCGCCTCCCCTTTTTTCTTTTGGAATACAGGCTTTCAGTGTATTGTATAGACTTTGGTCTACTCAACCGTTGAGTGTTACCTTCTGGCTGCAGAGAATTCACGTTTTGAACAGGAAGAGGAACATAGAAGACAAATAGCCAGTGCATACGGGGTTGGCAGAGGGTGCCGGCAACTGCACCTTGGAGTCTAGGCGACTCTTACTTGCATCTAGGGTGATCAGATGCAAAAAAAAAGGGACAAGGTTCCTGCACCTTTAATAGTAGAGAAGAAGGAGGAACTTCAGCCGGTGTATAAGTTGCATGACAAATTAAACCCGTTGCCATTCTCTCCCTTACACAACCATTAAAAAAAGCAGAGTCCTGTCCCCTTTTGCATCTTCCCGGGGTTCTCGGGCTCTTAATCAGCACACAGATTAGGCATGCGGGAGCTATATAGCAAGGTAAGCTTGGACATTGACACCTAAGTAAAGCCCCTTGGGATGCTCCATAGAAGTGGGGAGAGGGGAAGTGTGACATGCATCTCCTCTCCCTGTGCTTCCGGGTGCTGGACAGAGAAAGGGGATGGAATGCACTTCTCCCTTTAGAACAGAGGGGGCCCTCTAGATGTTGCTGGACTACAACTCTATCATCGCTGCCCATTGTCTATGCATAAGCGGGAGGATGAGAGCTGGAGTCCAGCAGTCCTGGAGGGCTGCAGGTTCCCCATCCTCGCTTCAGGAAGACCCCAGAAGTGTGGAGAGATGAAATGCAAGTGTCTTGTTTTTACCATTTTTAAATTTTAACTTCAGACATAAAAAAGCAGTATAAAACTTTATAAATAGGATAAGGTACTCCTGCTTCCCATCTCTCGTGCCTCTTTGGACTATCTGATGTGGATTTCATGCCTACCTTGCTTTTCTGCCTGCCTAGCACCTGCTTGTTGTGGTGCGGGGGCCCCTGGAACAGTTTCCACTTCCTCATTGAGCTCTTTCCCCTCAAAAGGCTGCTTGGATGTAGGCATATATATATATAGTAGCTTTTACAACCTTTGGGAGCTCATTTGCAGAGAGTCCCTTTACAAGAGAGTATGATCGCTTGGCGTCCTGGTAAGCCATAGGACCACGTGAAGCTGCCTTGTGATGAATTGGACCATTGTTCCATCTAACCCCAGTACTCATGGAGACTAATAGTGATTGAACATGGTATGCACCCAATGACTGTGCTTTGGACATCCCACCTTACATTGCATCAGAACAAATAAGGAGGCTGTTGGAGGTCTTACAGGACAAAAGGTTATAGACTGGGATTGCTAGCCTGTTGTCCCCCAGATGTTGTTGGACTCCAGCTCCCATCAGTCTCAGCCGGCATGGTCAATGGTTGGGGTGATGGGAGTTGTAGTTGAGCAACATCGGGGGGGGGTATCACAGGTTAGCCTCCTCTGATTTAGACAGACCTGATGCACAATCAAATGGGCAGTGTAAGGAGAAGCAGTGAAAGAGGTCCTTGAAACCATAAGGAAATCATCATCAAATGTGGCAATCCATGTCTGAAACGACACTGAAAACACATGACAACGCCATCCGAGTTGCTGTGACTCCCACTCCTCTGTGCAGATTATGGGACAAAAGGGTGACACAGATGCTTAAAATATTACAAGCAAATACAATTTCAATAGAAGCCATTAGAGTGAAGTGTTCATCATGCTTTGCTTTTCAAATGCAAGATTAATGGACTGGATAGCTAAGTGGGAACATAGTGTCAACAGCAAACGAGGTTGCCAATTTTTTTTCTTGGCAGAGGTTCCTGTGCCTTTAACAGCAGCCTGGCTGAGCAAAATGACACAAAAAAAAGCAAAGTTTTTCCCATCATGGAAGCAGTTGCACCTCTTAAATTTGTCCCATCATGCAGCAGTTACAGGCAGAGGAGCCACTGTCCGGAAAGAAATGGGCACCCTGGAAAACACAATTGTTTTGAGAAAGCAGAAGTGCTTTGAGAGCCTTCCTTTGATAAACATAATATTTAAATTCATTTTGCAGTTAAGGCATGCATACCTTAGGAGTTATTCTTCATCCACTTCTGCTACAAACTGTGAATGGTGTTCTGGCGACTTGCTGTGTGTTTTGCTTAGATGAAGTTTTACTGCGTGTTTGCTCACAAATGTCCGAGAGCACAACTTACATTTGAACTTAGAGTCTGTGTCCTCTTCTCCAGCTATTGTTTCCGGAGACCTTTGAACTGAAATTCTGGAGATTTCTTGTTCTACCTTGGTTTGCTGCTCCACAGCCAGCTTGTTCATGTCTTTCATTTGGAAACCTAGATGGGATTCTAAATGGTTGATGTACGTTGACGGGGTTCTAAACTGAGATGCACAGTCACTGCAATAAAAGATGGGGTGCCCTTTATCCATGTTTTTCAGAAACTTTGTTCCTCCAGTTTTTCTGAGTTGGTACTTGACATTTGCCAACCAATGGCTGATCGTAGTCATGGACAGTCCAGTAAATTTGGAAATCTGCATGCGTTCTTGAGGACCCAAGTCTGACAATAAATATTTACCTTCGGAAGTTTGGAAAAGGCTGGAAGCAAACTGAGCTTGCAAAATGAGGAGATGTTGAGGATTCCAGTTGGACTGCCTTCCCTTTCTTTTGTGCAACGTGGAGACTTCTGTTGAGACATCTTCAAAACGCCGGACATCCATTTCCAGTTTCATCGATGGTATTCTGGACGAGGCAGCAGGTTTTGGCGTCGTAGCTTTGGGGAGAACTTTGACCATGTCTGCAATGTCAGACAGGGCGTGTTTCTGAGGTGGGGAAGTGCAAGATTGTGCTTGAACAGACTCTCCCTTCTTGCTTTTAGATTTGGTCAGGTCTATTGGCTGATCGCTGTTTTCGAACACATAATGCCTGGATGTAACGGTTGCAGGTTTCGTTGGTGCTGGGGTGGGAGACAGAACTGGCTTCTCCATCATGTTTAAATTAGGTTTGTGGAACATAGAGGCTGCACTTGAACTGGGGCTGGTGTTGGACTGAGGTCTCAAAGGCTCGTTGGCTTTGCCCAAGTGGTTATTCAGCACAGACTGCAGAGCGCTCAGAGGGTTTAGACAAGGCAGCTCAGAGGAGTGGTTAGAAGTAGTGCACCCATTGGTAAGAGCTGATGGTGCCGATTCCTTTGCATTTGTTTTGTCTTTCTCCTCCTCATCTTTTGCCTTGTCCTCTTCTTTCAAAGGACTTGGCTCTGGCTTTTTAGGCTCTACACACACCTCAACTTGAGGGGGGGAGTGACCTTCATTTTGACAGGCAGGGGCTGCATCCACAACTTTGTTGCCCTCTTTAACATGGTCCTTTTGTGATTCCTTTTTGGTGTCTCCTTCCTTCTTCACTTGAGTGCATTGGGCCATGTTAGCTGAGATAGGAACCAGAGGCATTACTTTCCATTTTGGAGCAATAGGCCTCAGCTTATTCGTGACCGTTGGCCTAACTTGCAACACCTGGGACCCCACTGGTAAGGAAGGCTTTGCTCCTTCTGAAAGCTGATAAGCTGCATGGATACTAGGATACGCACTCCAGCTGGGTGCTCCGTTTTGAGCTTTATTGATCGCAGTGGTAACCGTGTTTTCCAAAGACTTCAAAATGTCTCCACCACCTTTGGAAGCATCTTCCAGGTCTTCCTCCCGAAGATATTGGTATTTTATCGTAGGGTCCAGCGGTTTCTGAAGAGTGTCTTCGTAGTCTTCGCTCTTCACCGCTTTCTCGTCTTTGCTCACTTCCTCCGTTTTGTTTTGCTTCCTTTCTTTCTTCAGCTCCAAAGCAGGAGCTGCAGAATCCGTCGACGCGTTACTGGAGGGCTTCACGTGCAGACCATCACCGCCAGCCGGCGCTTCAGAAAGCGACTGCATCTTCTCCACAGCCAGCGGATCCAAAACAAGCTGCTTTCCTTTCTTGGAGGCCGAGCTTGTGACCTTCAAGAAGTGGCCCGTTACCATCATGTGTGTGGTGAGCTGCTGCAACGTGTCGTGCGAGCTCCCGCATTCCATGCACTTGAGGATCTGTGATTTGCACGCCTCGAACTGCCACGTGTAGCTGGCTCCGTTTTGGTAGCCATAGCGGTTGTTGGAGGACAGCTGCAGGTTTGCATTCTTCTGGGAAGAAAAGGTCTCTGCAAACGACCCCGTGGTCGAGTCTGGAGAACAAGGCCTGTTGACGTCAAACACACGTTTTTTAGCTGGAGTTACCATTTTGGAAGAAATGGTAGGCACCGGCTCCTTCAAAGGCACTTTTTGGTAGTGTTTTGTTTTTATCATGTGGACGCTTAGATCTTGAAGGGAATCGAAGGAGTCGCCGCAGAACATGCACTTCAGGACTTTCTGGGCATCTTCTTTATCCATGTCCTGAAAGGCCCTTTTGCGGGGCTTGGAGTAGCTGGCAGGCCTGTGCTTGTCTTTCTTATGGTTGTCATCTTGATAATGACCACTTTCGTTCATGTGGACAGTCAGCTCCACCAGGGTGTCGTAGGCAGCACTGCACTGCCTGCACCGAAACCTACTGGCGCCGGTGAATACAGTCCCGCACATTTTGCTGCTTTGCCTGTAGAGCTGGACCGAGCTGAAAAGGTTTGGTTTGGAGACAGGCCGTGCTGGTAAGCTCTGCTGCAGGCTCTTGGTCAGTGCGTCTTGGTGCCAATCAAAGTCACTTTTGCTTGCCCCGTTCCTGTTGTCGCAGCCCCTCTTATCCGAGTTGGACAGCTTGAGTCCGAGTCCTAGACCTGTCCAGTAAGAATCTGAAAGGATGTTGGCGTATACCGCTGTCATTTTATCCATGCAGCTATGTGCTTCGCTGGGAAGTTTGGGGTGGACATTGGCTTTGGGGTCTTGTGGCTCTCTAGAACAAAGGCTTTTAATATCCGCCACCTGGTCACTCGCATCACTTAACAGGGATTCGTTTTCAACATCCTGATTAGAGATATGACTTACTGGAGAGTTCTGGTAGCTAAAGCCACCTTTTGGGTCGGGGCCTGCATCATGTTCTTCATCTGTGCCAGGGTCATTGCTGCCCTGAAGACGAGCTGTCGAGTTGCTCTCATCGTCATCCTCTTCTTCCTCTTTTACGTCTTCCTCCTCTTTCAAATCATCATCTTGGACGTAACCTGAAAAGGAACGTCGATACATGAAACATCAGCATAAGCAAGAACACTGCACAAAATCAGAACATGGGAAGTCACCCAAAAATGTTTAATTTGGAATGGAATAATTGTCTCTTTTAATTGTATTATGATTTGGTATTGTATTAATGTGGCTCATACTGGATTATTATTAATGAAAAATTAATATAAATTATTATAAAAAAAGAACACTGCACATTCATTTCTCTAGTTCTGGCATTTGCTTTTCCCTACTGGATTTGGGTTTAACCTTCTGCTTTATGGACTGTTAGTGCAAGGAGTGAAAAAGCTGGCAAAGCTTGTTGGTTTTTATTGGCAGATGATCATAATTCTTTGTAACTTCTAGAGATTTTGAGTTAATAATTTTCCTGTTGCAACAGTATAGCTCTAACCACCCCTTAATGGAACAGTTAGAAAATTAATATGTGAGATCATTTTAAGACCCATTAAAATGATGCCCTCAAATGGATATCAACCCGCTCCAGAAAATAACAACTGGCCAAGGAAAAGAGGTAAAGTCTCTGATTTTCTTGTTTCTATGGGTTATGCAAAGGTAAAACAATGTTATGCCATTTGATGATCTTAATAAAACATTTCAGGATGCTCAGAAAAAATGAAACTAATGTAATTCTGGCCACTTACTCAGGAGGAAGTCTACCTATATTTGTGGTACTAAATGTACATAACATAGAGACATGTGTGACATGCATAATCTAGTAATCCTTATTAAAATATGTTGAAAACATTCCCAAATGGGTAAACTAGAATAATATTTTCTATGCCAGTGTACAGATTTTCTTATTCTCTCTTTTTTAAAACCTTGTACCGCCAATAATCTATTTTAACATCACAGCCCATAATCCAAATAAAGGGATTCTGACATTTTTATGCAGACAGCGTAAAGTTTCTGATCAATTCATAGAGATAAAAATTTACAACTCCACACCTCCTGCTGAATGGAGAATAATTTTGGTTACGCAAATGGCCTTGGGTACATCCAGTTGACATGGCATTTGAATAAATGACAGTGCTTGTATTGTATCGAGATGGAGAACCTTTGGAGACACATAGCGAATTTGGACAGCTCAGCCATCTATTAGACATGGACATATACTGATCTACCTTATATGATGTTAGAACTAGACTAGATTAGTTGTCTTTAGTTCCCATTTGTTTCAATGGGAGCTAAGTTAAGTCATGGCTAAGTCAAATTTAAACACAAATCTATCTACTCTTACTACCTTAAAATGCTCCAAGGCCATTCCTTTTCTCAATTTGGATTGAATCTGCTTTAGGGGAAAGCACATCAAAATGCAGTATTTCATAGGACATAACAGGATAGATATGGATTGTAACAAATATTTGTGTGTACACTACCACCCAAACCAGCAATGAGAGCACACTGGATGCTGTGTACATAATGGGAGTATGTACACAGCCTATCTCGCAGTGGTGTTCTAAGGCGGGGGAGGGCAGACGTCAGGCTTGTGGGATCTACTTTTTTGTATTTAGAACTTAGAACTGTAGCCAGGTGTGAAAGACACACAGTAAGAACATAATAGCTCTGAGCAGCTGCTGCATGAACACATAGATTAGTTTTGAGCACCAGAACCATACCAGGCTCACAGTCCTTTGACCCAAAAATCTGTTCCTGATGACCTCAAACTTTCTTCAACAGTCTAATTTTGGGGGAGATCATTGTGTTGTTGCCATTGTTAAGACAGTTTTCAGATCTACTGAAAATCACCCCGAAATCTATCACTAGATCCTGTTCCAGCTTTTCCCACCCCTGTTTAGAACAGTCTTAGTTTTAGGCAGAGCTCCTTCTGCACCATTGTTACAGCAGGCCCAACTTAAACGATACTTTAGTTCAGGGGTAACTATTCCAGCTGTTATGGGTGACAACAGCCATGAGCCACAATTGCCATGTTCAGTGGTAAAGGGACTGGTGGAAGTTGCCGTATACAATCTATGGAGGGCGCCATCTTGACTACACTTGCCTTAATGAGGCTGAAGCTGTTGCTACTACCATGCTAAAGTTGCTTATGGAAATCACACTCCATGTGGTTCTTGCAGGTAGCAAGTTTCAGAACTGCACCCATAGCAAAGCCCCCTAACCTGTCGGCCATCAGGGGCGTGTGGTTCAGAACCAGGCAAGATGGCGGCATCACATTGGCAGGAGTTCTTCCAGTGGCCCTGTCTTCTGGATTTGGAATTGCACCCTGAAATCTATCTTTGAGGCCGTACTGATTTTACTTTTATGGGGGAAATAAAAGCCATTTCTCCCTCCAATTTGCTGTTCTCTTCCCGTCATGGTATTGCATATCCTCTTAGACGGTCTGACTGATAGAAGTAAGTTACAACCCCTCCCCCACGACACAGACAACATTTTCTACTTAATTAGGCTTTGACATGTTTACTATAACCTTTACAGAAGAAGAACTCGTGCTGAGAGGTCCTTCCCTCTTTTGAGACTGCTTGTTTGTTGGCATCGAAATTGGGAAAGCAGCGGATTGGAAAGCACCATCAAAGTTCAACCATCAGATGGTGAAGCCCATTTGAATAATGCTTAAAAATGCCAATAACCTTTAACCAGCAACAGCAACAAAAAGGGAAGGGAAAAGAAAGAAAGAGAAAAGGCAAAAAGAGAAGTGTGCTATTTAATAACACTCACGTTTTCCTAAACCAATCATTTGTTTTGGGCATTTTCTTTAAGACAGCCAAAGCCCTTTAAAATGCAGATACTCAGGGTGCCTTAATGAATGCGCGTCGCATCCTCCCTGCGATTTCCATAAGAAGGTTTCACCATATGTAAATCTTCATATAAATTGAAACGCAGGAGATTAATTCATCAAAACGCTTGATTAGCAGGAGAGATTCTGGTAGAGCAACATACATATTTTCTTTTATTTTTTTATTATTATTTTAAAAATCTACATATGTCAGCCACATGGTGGCAACCCTAAGTAACAAATTAAGGCCATTATACGCAATCAGTTTATTGCCCCAAAATGTCTTGATCAGGCAGGAGCAATCTGGGTGTAGAAATAAGATTCCAGATGTGTTTCGTTCCTCTGGATGGGCTAAAAGGCACTGTGCCCAGTGCGGCAGATGCAAGATGCAAATTACAAACCACCAATAAACTGACAAACCCCTAACGAAATAAGGGCAGCCTGGGCGGGGAGACAGCAAGATACTCTTTACAAAAAATAAAAAAACCTAAGAGTTCTAGACTGGATTAAAAGTTTGGAGAAATCTAAGCAGCATAGACATCAACAGTTCTCAAATGATGGTGGGACACTAGCAAGGAAGGAGACAGTATACCCTCCAGTGGCAGGGAGTTTCAGACATCCAGCACCAGTACAAAAAAGTCCTTCTTATGCATTATTCCCAGCTGTGGCTCGGAAGGTGATGGCACACACAGGAAGGTTTCATCTTAGAGTGCTGCCAGACCCATGCATTCATTTAGGCAATTTGGCCTCCTGCCATTTAGGGCTTTGAAAGTAATAGTCAGCTGTTTGACTTTCATTGAGACCAGCAACCCTAACGTAGCTAATATCGCAAGGGATCATTTGACACCAAGGTTTTAACAGCAAGATTCCACATTCCTTGAAATTTACGAACAGTCTTCTAGGGCAGCCTGGTGTGGGATGTGCTACAGTAATCCAGCTTAGCTGCAATGAATGCAAGCGTGGCCATGGCCAGGTCTCACGTGCTTGGATTGCATCTGGGCTGGGCTACTGTGATGGTGCTACTCTTCCTGGTGCTACAGAACCGCCCTTCCTGGAGCCATGCAATGTGTTCCGTGTCCCACAGTTCATGCTGTTCTTTCACCCTCGGGTCTTTGTACCACATCTGCGCCACTGGTCCTGACTAAACAGCTCGTAGGATCAAGCAGTTAATCAGTTTAGATCATAGTACTTCAGCTGAATTAGTTTACAGTTTGAGCATATAACGTTTCATTTCTGCATTTTAATGAGCAGGGCCTAATTTTTCTTCTTTGTTTTTGAAACATACACTTTTTTCTGTTGGGTTAAAAAGAAAAAGAAAACACTGGCAACAGCTATTTTCAGTCATATAGACTCTCTTTTTCCACATATAGCAAGATTTCTTAAAATATATGCATACATGGCTCTTTCCAAGTCTGGAAAATTTCGTTTTGGCCAAGAAATGGGACAGTGAATCATTGTCCTCCAAAATAACGCCACTAATCCATACAAAGCCCATATGCCATCTGCATTTTTTCATTCATATATCCCAATTCCTCTTAAAATAACATTGCAACGAAAGCAATCTCGCAGCGCTTGGAGGTGATCTTGTTTCCTTTGCTTCTGGAAGGAATATCTTTTTGTTGTTGTTTTTTCCTCTCCCTCTTTTTGGCATGAGACTGTTTTCTTTCTTTGAAATATTTCATGCAGATAATGGATAATGACCACTTCTCTTGAAAACGTCTAACTACATTAGCTATCCAAACGCAAATCCCAACCTGGTTCATTGTTGTAGTTCATGGTTGCAGATCCATCATGTTCATTTTTTGCTTTTTTGGAAGAGGAGGAGTAAAGATAAACTACCTCTGGTGGAAAGCCCAATTTTAACTCTTCCGTGGCTGCAATCCTGTTCACATTAACCTGGGAGTAAGAAACCATTCAGCAGCAAAACATCCCCACTTCTATTCCAATGCAGTGTGTGTGAAATGGGATTTGGGGTAGGGTGGGGGCATTGCAGAGGTGTCTAAATTTTCCCATGTATAGAGGGAAGTTTTTCCCTCCCTGTCTCATTACACTGTGCACTATGGTCATTCAATGATGCTCAATTTTGGGGAATTAAGGACATATCAATGGAAGGAATTTTTCATGCAGTTCAGTAGCAGTCATGGAGCAGAGGTTCTTTTTTGGGGGGGTGTTGCTTACATGGCTTCCCAAGTTCACTGCTGGTAACAAAGTGGGGGACAGGCGAGGTTGCAGGGCAGCATGAGCCCCTGCTCC